TAGGAGATTGGATCTCCTAGGGCCGGCCACCCCCCCTTGGCACCCCTATATATAGTGGGGGAGAGGAGGGACTTCATACCTGAACGCCTCGGCCTTTGGTTGCCTCCTTCTCCCTCCCCAACACCTCCTCCACCTCCATAGTGCTTAGCAAAGCTCTGCCGGAGTACTGCAGCTCCATCAACACCACGCCGTCGTGCTGCTGCTGGTGCCATCTCCCTCAACCTCTCCTCCCTCCCTTGCTGGATCAAGAAGGAGGAGACGTGGCTGTTCCGTACGTGTGTTGAACGCGGAGGTGCCGTCCGTTCGGCGCTGGTCATCGGTGATTTGGATCACGTCGAGTACGACTACATCATCACCGTTCTTTTGAACGCTTCCGCTCGCGATCTACAAAGGTATGTAGATGCATCTAATCACTCGTTGCTAGATGAACTCCTAGATGATCTTGGTGAAACGAGTAGGAAAATTTTTGTTTTCTGCAGCGTTCCCCAACAGTTCTAACCCTAAAAAATGAAGGGACCTATACATTTACTAAAAAACCCCTAGTTCTAACCCTAACATCTATCCATCCATCCATTTATATATATCCATCCATCTATCCATCCCTTTGTCTATCTACGCAATATATCAAAAAACCATTGTTCTAACGATCTATCTATCCATTCATCTATCTATCCATCTATCTATGCAATGCAGGAGGGATCAGAGGGAGGGAGAGGGTCAGAGGGAGAGGGCTGGGAGGGAGAAGCACGAGGGATGAAGGGAGGGAGCAGGAAGGGAGAAGGGCAGGGGATGGAGGGAGAGGCAGGGTCAGAGGGAGGGAGGGAGAAGGGAGGGATGGAAGGAGAAGGGAGGGAGGAAGACATACCAGGCGACGATGGTGGCGGGACGACGGCGGCGGGCAGTGGCAGCGCGCGGGAGTTGGACGAGAGATGAGAGTGTGTGGGAGGGAGAGTGATCGATCGGGCCGGCGGGGGAGAGGATAAGGTATCTTTAGTAGTAGCGTTGGCTGGTGGCCCAGCGCTACTGCTATATCTCTAGCAGTAGCGCTGGTTCCAGCCAGCCGCTACTACTACGCGTAGCCCCTGTCGGTGGCCATGGGACCACTTAGCAGTAGCGCTGCCAGGGGGCCCATCGCTACTGCTACTCTGGTACATGTAGGCGTGTTGTCAACCAGCGCTACTACTAAGTGGCAGTAGCGCTGGACCCATAACCAGCGCTACAACTAAGCTCCTATGTATAGGCATTTCCCTAGTAGTGTAGGGATCAAACCCTAACAAAACTAACTCGATTACATGGTAAATCTCATCCAACCCATCACCGTCTAGCAAGCCTATGATAGGATTACTTACACACGACGGTGAG